GAGAAGGATGTTGCTAGGAAGTTTCCTAATGTCTACATTCAATGTATTGTGCATTATCTCCCCCTTTCCCTGCTTATATAACTCAGGCCTTATGGCCATTGTAACACAACCTTTTGAATATTAAAATCTTTTACTCTTTAAGTATTATTAAAATAGTGTGATGCTATTTTAGCCAAATTCCTAATTCTATATCTTAAGAGTGGTTATCTTAAGTGTGAGTTTTAGGTTCTAGATATTTGATTAAGTGTGTCATATCTTAATTAAATTCTAAATTCAAACCCCAAGTTAGGATAAGAGTGTGTAATATCTCTTAAACACCAACTTGGTTTATCCATCCCTGACTTTCTTCCATTTCATATCCCCCCATTTCTCCTCTTAATCTTACTCTTTTCTTCCATTAAAATACCCAAAAGAACTCCCTCATCATCTCCATATATTTCCAAGCTATTCCCCCACAAAACACCGTTCTTCCTGCCCAGGATTCTGCCCAATAATCGATTATCATTCCCCACAATCGATTATCAATCCCATTGGAAACACCTGCAGGGATCAATAATCGATTATCCCTTTAAGATAATCGACTATCAGCTTCCCCAGAATTTCTGCAGCTTTCAGTAATCGATTGTCACTTTGTGTAAATCGATTATCTCCTGCTCCAGAACCCTGAACTCAAAGTTGCATCATCCCCTGATTCCTCCTCAAAATAGCAACTCGTTTAGACCCCCGGTTCGGGTATAACATATCTTAAGTGAGTTCTAGATTCAACCCCAAGTAAGGATAATAGTGTGTTATATCTCTTAAAACCAACTTGGTTTTATCCCCTTTTCCTTATTCATTCTTCTCCATTTTTGCCCCACCTCTAAACATCCTAAACAGCCCCTTTATTTCATATCTTTACACCCTTAAAAAAACATCTCAAAATAAACCTTTCCTCCTCCTCCTATATTTCGGCCTCCCCCTACTCCCTCTCAAACCTAAGCTTTATACAACATTTGGTATCAGAGCTTCTTGTTTCTCCATCCAAAAAGAGGACCAAGAACACACTTCCTTCCTATCTTTTCTTTCTCCTTTCCGACCAACTTATTTCCCTAAACAAAACTCTCTTTCCTTCATTACTATACACCTTATTCACTTACCACCCCTCTCTTCTTTTCCTTCTCAAATCTCGGCCACCTATCCCCCTCCTCCTTCAACCCATATCCTCCATCTTTTACCATGACAAACCAATCCCAAAACCTATCCCATGAAGAACTACAAGCCTCCAACGAAGCTCTCAAAGCTCAAGTTGAGTACTTAGCCAAAAAACAAGTGACTCAACTTACCAAGATGAAGCTCAAAATGGTAGAAACAACCGAAGAAAGTGAAGAAGAATAAGAATAAGAAGTGCAACGAAGTGGAGACTCTAGCATCAACACTGGAGGAAGCTTTAATGATAAAGGAGCTTCGGACTTCAAGGTTGACCTCCCAACCTTCGAAGGGAAGAATGACCCGGACAAGTTCTTGGAATGGTTAGAAACCGTTGAACGCGTCTTTGACTTCAATGACGTTCCCAAAGACAAGAAGGTCAAAATAGTGGCGTTGAAGCTACGAAAGTACGCCTCTACATGGTGGACGAACACATGCACTAAGAGAAGACGAGAAGGCAAGGTTCCCGTCAAATAATGGCTCAAGATGAGAGCTTTGATGAAGAAGAAGTTTCTCCCCGAACAATATGTAAGGAATAACTTCGCTCGCCTTCAACAACTAAGGCAAGGCACCCGGATAGTTGAAGATTACACTCGAGAGTTTAAAAAGCTCTTGATGCGGTGTGACTTACAAGAAGATGATTCCCAAACCCTTGTCCGCTATTTATTTGTGCTAAACACCCAAATAGCTAACATAGTTGATAGTTGTAGTTTTTCGGGTAGTAAACCTTCCCAGTAAAGGGTTAGTTTTCTCTCCGAGTGTCGTATCTCTCGAGGAGTGGACGAAGAGAATTAGTTTAATTACTCTAATTAGGCGAAGATTAGGATTGGTTTATGAAAGTCTTCTCGGAACGATTATAAAAAGAGCAGAGTAAAAATAATAAATTAATTAAGTTTACATAGTATAAGTATAGATCTGGACCTAGGGTCTGGACATCATTTGGATTTATTTTATCATATTAAATTAACAATTGGAATAATAATATTTCTATTACTACTCATCCATTTCTAGATTTGTACTTAATCCGTTGTACTTGAATATCATAGC